ATAGATAGATAGATAGATAGATAGATAGATAGATAGATTGTGTTGTGTTTTGTTTTTTCTCTCCATGAGGCGATAGCCATATAACCAAAATGGCTTTAATGTATTTTGAAAATACATACTGTAGTTTAACCCCTGTTTAAAAAATAAGCAACATACTTTGATGTTTTAAAATGTCTTTTTGAATTTGTCATATTTTTCTACTTTAGGTTAGATTGCGTTTGAAAATACATTCTAAACATAATGAATCAATATACCCTGATAATATGGCCATAAAATCAACACTGCTCATGCTGTTTTCTTTTTTTGTTTGTTTGTTTCTGTAATTGGATAAAATCCTATATAGTTAAACTCCAATGTAGAAAAAGAAAAAAAAAAAAACTCAATTCCATGAATTTTTTATTTGTAAGACATTTGCAAAAGGATTTCTGGTCAAACATTGTATTTGTGAACTAAATCTATAAACTAATAGAGATGATAATAATAAAAATATTATTGCGTTGTTACTGTTATTAGGATATGGGGACATATAAGCAGACATACAGATTTGTATATATTTGACTCTTTATTTTCCTTTAGTTATGCATCTTGCACCTACATATACAGTACTAGTAGCTTGCAAAACAAAGTAAGTACATTGTCCTTAATTGTGCCAACTTCTTCTTTATGTATGTGTGGGAGAGATAGAAAGAGGACAAGAAAAAGTATAAGAGCGTGCTTCTTTAACCAGAGATCAACAAAAGGCACAGCTGGGAATACACACATTCAGCACCCCTCCTCACACATAGCTTTATTTTAAAAATCCTTACATCTAGCAATCTCTGCAAACACTTCTAAGGGCCAGAAGCTTAAAACTTGGAATCAAACAACATATTGATCGTAGAAGCTTCTTGGATAAAACAGCAGAACTTGATAAAAACAAATCAAACTTTGAACCGGCCGTTGCTTAAATAGCATTTACATTCATGCCAGGTAGATGTGGCAAGTCCAGCACCATAAGGAAGATCTCCTTTAGAATTAAATTTTTTACCATTGAGTACTTTAATGATTGCTGTTCTTTTGGAACACTGGGGTTTAATATCAAAATATATAACTTTAAATTCATGCAAACTTGTTAAGGAAGTAAGTCTATAAAAATTACATCCGTTATTTTAACGGGTGTGAATGCTTTAGACAGGTGCTGTGTGCACCCCAAAGTTAAATATTATGTTTTATATTGGCTTCTGTAGACTGAAACAGAACAAAATATGATGTAGACTATAAGTACCTTTAAATAAAGCACATGTGTTTGTGACTTCTGAACAAATCTTAAAACTCCCTGGACAATTTAAAGAGAATAAAGGCTTTTCTGCTGCTATATGTTTGGTTTTCACTGCTGTAAGGGAACAAAGGGAGCTGACTAATTGATACTAATCCACTCTACTATGCTGAAATGCAAAACAAGCTGTACAATGCCTTTTGTTATACTATTAATCCAGTCTTCTTGGCACAGGAGCAGCAGAAAAAAATGCATGACCTGAGAGAAAAGCAACAGGGGAAAAAAAGAAGAAAAGTTTAATTCCCTCCGTGTCAGAAAAGCAACAAACAAAAAGGTTTTAGCTGATTATGCCCAAGCAGTTTTAGGAGCTTTTGCGGATTTTTTCCATATCCATTTAAGTCTGCATAGAGAAGAGGTAAAATAATAGACCCAAAAAGGGAATACAGTTATTTAATTAGAGACTTTCAGTGATACATAATTGAAGAACCTGATAAAAGATTTTTGATGAAGCCGTTGCATCCTTTTTTAATGAGTGCAGGGAAAATAGAACCTTGTTCAACAATTAATTTCCCCTTTTAAACAAAAAAATCAAACCTGCGTGATGATCTAAAGAGGCTAACAGAAACTGTAATCATCGCTGGACCTTGCAAACAGCATTTGGATTTTATAACTGTGGGAGGATAATGATAACCTGACAACAGCCAGATGCATGTCTCGCTCCGCCCAGCTCTGGGCGGAGCGAGACATGCATCTGGCTGTTGTCAGGTTAGGATAATGATAGGATCATGTAAAAAACAAAACAAAAAAAACCCCCTTAAGAGTAAGGCATCTCATAAAGTAATGTGAAATTGAACATTTGAAAATGGAAAGAAAAGGGCAAAATTAACAAAAAAAAAAATGAAGAGATTGCTGTCAAATTAAAGCGAAAGATAGACCAAGGAGAGCATCAGAAGAATCAAAATAACTTTATTTTCGATAGAAATTTGCCATGCACTAATAGAACTACTTAAAAAAAGCAGCCAAAAGCCATGAGAGGCCCATTTACAGTTTCAGTTTACAACAAGGTTTTTGAATTGGAAAGGCTCCCTGGAAGGGAAGCGAAACGTCTTCAAACTTGGAATCTTAACTTTTTAAACTTTTTTGGAACAAGTTTGGTCATACACGGCCAAACAACTGTGCTCCAAAAAAAATAAATAAATAGATAAAATAAATAAAAACTGTTTAAAAAAAAAACACAAACAAACAACAGTTTGGAGGAAAACCACACACCAGCTTAACACTCCATCCCTACTGTGAAACATAGCTGCGGAAGTATCATGGTCTGGCAAGGCTTTTTCTGCAGCAGGAATAAGAACGTTGGTCAGAGTTCATAGCAAATGATGGAAAAACCCAAAACAACTATTTGGCTAAATCGTGGAATATTTATGTTACTGGGGATGTGAAATTATGTTCCAGTTGTCTAAAAACCCAAAACACAAATCAAAACTGTTTGAACTGCCTTAGTCAAAGTCAGAGCTGAAACTAAGTGAGATTGGCTAAAACCTTCCTTTATGGCTGACTTAAAGCAACTCCACAGTAAAAAAGCATGCCAAAGAAACATAAAATAGATGCTACAAGAATATCCAGATGCAATGGAGTTGCAACCAAGAGTAGTAAAGCCAGTTACTAGATTAAGGGGGCAGTAACCTTGTCTCAATAAATTAAATAAGAATTCAAAAACTGATGTATAATTACAACTGAGGTTATTTTTGTCTGATGTTAAAATGTGTCAGTGTGTGATATACTGTATGTGAAAAGGGAGGTCAATGGTTTTTGTGAGTTTATGTAAAATTTAAGGCTACAAGTGTAAAGACATATAAGAAGAAGGACAACAAAGCAGGATTATTGGAGAAATTACAAGATTGTCTTAAAGGTTAAGTGGATGATGTTCTTTTTCCAGGTGGATCATCAAAATAAGTGGTCCTCCTAATTGTCAATCTTTCTGGTGATAGGTTTACGTAAGGCCGTCCTACATACTCGTGCCATTTTCACTTACCGGTGGTGCGTCATAGTGGAAAAATTGCAAATCTTCTTTTGGAAAGTAAGCTTGCTATTAAACATAGTGTGCACGAGGAGAATTCTCTCGCAAGCGTTTAATAAGCATTCCCTCTTGGGAGCGGGTACAGAGTTGTGCATGTGCCTTTTTTTTTTGTAAGTGGAGAGGGTGGGCCTTTTCAAAAATTTGCGAAAATCCTCCCCCATCATTATCATCTGCCTGACCGCACAAGTGATTGCCACACACACCAGAAATCTAGTCTAAACCAAAGGAACGGTAATTTAGAAAGGTATTCAAAAAAGCCATTATAAAAAAATACAAAGCAAAACATTTCAGCCATAG